CTGAACCCCTGCCAGTTATTCTCCCTCTCCCTCTCCCTCTCCCTCTCCCTCTCTCCCTCCCTCCCTCCCTCCCCCACCTACTCACTCACTCCACCCCCTCACCACTTGAGCTTTTTAGCCTGACTTCAACCAATTTGACTTGTCTAGGGAAACAAAGTCTTCCTCAAGCAGCGCGTCGGAGCTGCACCTTACACGTATGACAGCCACTTTATGTGGGTCTTCGACATGGACCCCGAGGGAACAGGACGGGCGACTGGCTTTACTGGTATTGGCGACTCCAACATGATCCGCGAGGCCGCAAGGCTAGGATCTAGTCCGTCAGGCAGCCAAATCAGTCAGTGTGTCAGTGCACCTCCGGAGGGGGGCACTGTGACCGCGTACAGAATTGAGAGCACGTTATGAAGGGGCGGCTGCCAGAAGTCGCCGTCGGAGTGCCAGTACGCTCCAAAGGAGTGGTGCCTGCCTTTCCACGTTCCGTTGGCCCAGTGGGTAGAAACGCGCTGAATGGCCGGGTGGCCTGGTTCTGGGTCCTGCAAGGCGTAGGGGGGAGGCGCGGGCGGTGAGGCGAGATGCACCGGCTGAGTTGGAGGCCGTGATAGCACCGGGAATTTAGGCTGCGTCAAGGGAGCGCTGCATCGCTGCGCGAGCGAGAACCATTCGCTTCCGTGCAGCAGGCCGCGTTTAAGATGCACGTGGAGATAGGTCTGTGGCATCTACGTTTGTGTCCTGCCCCTCAAACGACCGCGGCAGGATGATGGTCTCGCCCAGCACATCGGTGAGAGCGACTTGCTCGGCGCGGGAGAGGGCCTGGTTTTTAAATACCACCATGCCATGCATGCGAACCGCCTCGTGGATGGCGCTCACCGCCGCAGTACCAATGTCCTGCAGAGGGCCGACAGAGAGCGCGGCTCCGAGCCGTGCCGAGCATCCGGGCTCTCGCCCCTCGCTCGAGCGCGCGGGCGCATCGACAGCAGATGAGTCCACCATACTCCGACACGAGGTCGAGAGCCCATGCCCGCGCCGCGCGCCTCTGTGGGCGTCTACGGTCTAGTGCAGCCACTGACAGAACTGTTCCAAAGGAGTGGTCAACGTCTCGCCTGAAGTCGGGTGGGCTCGCGCACTGCTTAGCCCTAGGGGAGGGGTGTGTGTGAGGTGTCGGAATGGTAAGGTTTCAGGCCGCCAAGGTGTGGGGGATTTGGGGGATGAGTCAGGAGCCAGCAGCCTTCCTGCTGGACCTGAGTTCACAGCTCCTCCGCCCGACGGGGTGGTCCCTTGGATTCGGGCCCCGCTCCCTTTTCCTGCGCCTGGTCTGTCCCTGTCAAGTGTGTGTTGCGAGATGCAGAGCTGGTTAGGCTGGAGCGCGGGCGGTGCGGTGGCAGGCGAGGGCAGCGCGGTAGGCGAGAGGCGGCCGCGGGGCTTCGAGTGGCGCGATAGGAGGGTAGGCTGGCTGTGGAGGGGCGCCGCGTGGCCTCGGCAAATGAGTAGTGCTTTATGAGCGGCCAGTTTTGTGCGTATTGCATATCGAGCCTGCGGTGTGGCCTAGTTGGTGCAGCGTTCGGGTCGGGGACGTTTTTCTAGATTTTGGTCGTTGGTTCGAGCCCAGCTGGTGCAGTTCGTAGTCGCGTAGCGCGCGGGTGCGCGGCAGCCTCGGCAACCGAGGCGACAGTGGCGAGCAGGGGCGAGCAGGGGCGAGCAGGGGTCAGAGCAGTGCGGCGCGCCGAATTTTTTTCGATGGGCTCGGTCAGTGGGCGTGTCAGGAGGCGGCCGGCCGGGAGAAACTCGGCAGTAAAACTCCCGCGCCGGCCCAGGAGGTGGGAGTGTCACGGAGGCGGCCATTGGCGCGCGCTCCTTGTCTTCGTGGGTCCGAGTTTTTTTCGATGTCCAACATAAAGCACAGCTCACTTAGCGCGTTCGCAACCTTGCGTGGGCTATCACGCGTTCCGATGACATTGAGCGCGTCCTCCATTCTCTCTGCATATACTTTGAGGGGACTTGTACCTCTCCCCCTCACCTGGGTCGTCCGCGTAGACTGAGCCTGTGACATAGGTCTTCGAGAGACCATCGGACGTGATCTCCGCGTGGTCCGTTATCATGTTTGTAGAATGGCAGGGGCTCGCCACTATCGTCGTGTGAAATATTGGCGTGGTTGTTCAAGGCCCTTGCCCCACGGAGGCGCCTGAGGTGAATCTGCCACCGTCCTAAGGGACGCCCTGCCAGCACCCCACAGCCGGCCGCTGCTAAGCCCCAGGGATCAAAATGGATCAAAATAAAGGCTTTCATGGGTGAGGGCCCCAGCCCCTTCCACAACCGTGCAGGACCAGGTTCTAAACATCGGGCACCTCAGCCCACCCCCGTCCACGCGGCTTGCAACTCGGCCGTCCAACTAATGTTGCGGGGCGTGGAGCCTCGCCGGCGGTGTAGCGCCTTTAAGATCGTGCGCTTCTGCGTGTGTGCTGGTACTGGCCCGCCCTTGCTGACGCTGGTGCGACCCATCAGTTGCGCAAAGGGCGCGGCCTCCGGCGTGCGCGTCTGGCTGTTGTTCTCGTTGCAGCGGTATCGTGTCAGCCAAGCAGCCGCCTTGTGGCGCACCGCCTCGTTTGAGGATCGCGAGTAGAGCCGGCTCGCACTTGCGCCGAGTGCTGACAAGCACTCGGGGCGGGGCGTCTGCGCGTGGGCCGCACGAGCCGCGGCGGACATCGCAGCGGGCTGCTGCTCGCCGCATTGCACCTCCACCGGCTCGCCGCATACGCCTACAGCGACGAGCTCTGGCCGACGATGAGCCGAGATGCCGTCGACGAGCGGAAGCGCTGTCCCACACGCGCCACTCGGCTGTGAGGCGAGAGGGTTGCGGTTGTGGCAGCCGGGGTGCGTCGTTGCGATCGGGCACATGACGTCGTAGCCGCTCACGGCCGAGGCGTTGCAACCTGCACACCCCGGGCGAATCAGGATCTCGCGACATCTCATGTGGCGCTGCCGATGCAACTGCCGGTTGATGCGTTCCGGTAGTGAAGCAAATCTCGGGCGCTTTTGCTCGGGCTCTGGCGGTGCCGCTTTGGCGGTGCCGCTCACCCGTCGGAGGCCGCCAGATGGCGAGGCGTGCTGGCAGCGCGCACTGGCCCCGGCCCGGCTTCACAAACCGGCCGAGGTTGAAGTCGCGGAAGGTGTGCGCTGCAAAGCCGAGCTGGCAGCGCTGCCTGTTCACGGCCGGGGCGGTGAAGAGGTCGTGTTGCACCACTGCTGCCTGATGGGTTGGCACTGCTGCCGCAGCCGCATGGTGGTGAAGAAGTACAGCCCCCAGTAGTGGTGGGGCGCAGAGTTGTGGAAGCCAAGCTTGTTCCTGCCGACAGGTGGTGGCGTGAGCGGCGATCGTATTCAGTCGACAAGCAGAGGCGGACGATCCTGATGAGGCGCGAGTAGCGCGCGAAGTCGTCATATGTCTCGTGAAAGCCGTCGGCGAGTGCCGCATCGCCAATCTACTCACAGTTCGTTTGGTCTTGCGGCGCCCGATTGCAGCGCGTCGCCGGCTGCCGCCGCGCTCGCTAACCCACCACCAGTCGACGTTGACCGAGTTTGCGCAGAAGCTCATCTGGCGCAGCGCCGGGCCGGCACTTGCAGCGGCGGAGCCGCCCTCGCCAAGAGCGGAGTACTGGTCGCAATCCGTACCGAGGACCGACCTGTGCGCCGGAGGAGGTGAGCAGCAAGCATGACAGGAGGCGGCGGATGGGAGGGGTGAGGGGTTGTCGTGGCAAAAACTCCCCTCACCGCTTCCGTTGGAGCACAACCTGGTTGCGATTGGAGCCCTTGTACGCGCTTTCCTCACAGTCGTGGGCGAGCCAGAGCCGCACCTGGCACGAGGCCTCGGGTCACCTCGACCGATCTCAGGCCGATGGTCGGCTGCGTCGAGTATTGAGGAGGCGCGCCCCGTCGTCGACACGCACGACCGGCAGTGGGTTGAACCTGCGCGTTGCGACAGAGGCTGACAGACGGATAGCACTGTGCGAACTGATCAGTTGACCGAGAGGTGCAGACGGCGGTAAATATGCGTTGTGTGGGCAGCCAAAGGTTGGATACTTGGATGCGTGCACAGCAGCTAGGGGAGAGGACCATCGCACGTCGTGCCGCATCACGATGACCGGGCCTTGCGACTGTCCACGCCCCGCGGCCGCCCAACGCGTTCGCATCGCCAACGCCTCCTTCATGCCGAGCAACGCCCACATCGTCCGCCCACAATACGCGAGCCGCTCCCGAGGCGAGACGCCCGCCAGACAGTTGGGCATCGAGTCGTTCTGCAAGGCGTGGGACGAGGCGGTGGGGCTCCAAAAGGCGTCCATGCGGCCTGCAAGCTCCGGATTCCTGAAGCGCGGTCGGTGATGGGTTTGGCGTCGGGGAGTGTCCGCGGCGCGGGGAGGCCTGGCAGAGTGGTAGCATGGGACAGCGACAGAGGAGCGATTCACCAGCTCTGCACGAACACGGCGAGCCTCACTCCCGCCGCGCGCCACGGCTCAAGCACCTGAGATCTAATCGAGTTTGCGCACTCGCGCCAAAGTCCCTTGTCCCCGTGATCACCCGCCTTCATGCTGGCAGTGCGGGTCGTGTACGTCCCAACGCGGCCGTAGAGCACCAGGGTCGCCGTCTGCTCAGGCATCGTGGCAAGCGGGGCCGATGGAAGAGCCTGCGAAAAAGAATTTTACCCAGCGAAAAAGAATTTTGGCGGTCCCACGACACGATTCACGCGACAGGCGAGGACGCGGGCGACGGCTTCCTCAGAAGCCGTCGCCCGCACCACAGGAGCCCGACCCGAGCAACCCCGCCCCAACCCGACCCGACCCGATCCACCCCGCCCCGCCCCGCCCCGCCCCGCTATCCTGTGCAGTCAGGGCAAGTGGGGGCGGGGTGGAGTGCCCAGCGTCTTTACGCGGGACCTCGGCTTCTAGTCACGTTCCGAAAGGAATGTTTCGGCCCAACGGCCGCTCGCTCGCTGCGCGCAGTGAAACCGCCCCTTCCCAACCCTCTCAGGGACGGACGCATTTCCCCCCTTTCAAAGGCGGTTTCGAAGTTGATGAGACCTCGTCCCCCCCTCTCCAATGAAAAGCGTAAAAAGAGGCGCGGAACAGGCCGGAAGCGCCGCTTGGACGTGGGTCACACAATGGCAGCGCTCCAGACGCGCTCTGGTAGCTGCCAATTAAGCCGTAGCCCATCGCGCGCGTGCCGGACGGCCTCTGCACCTCTACTGCAGTGTCCTCCTGCACCGAGCGACGCGTCAAACCTTTGTTGCTGCCCATGACCGCCGGCGGCTCCGAGCTCGGGTGAGCGAGCCCTGGCTGAGCTGAGCCACTGCGGTCGCAATTGCAGCGCTGCGGTCGGTGCAGAGTGGCCGTGTGCGTACGGCGTCGTACACGCACGGCCGCTCTGCCTCAGTGGCGTGCGGCTTGGGCCAACTGAGGTCGCTCTCCAACCTCGCTCGCCGAGCTCACAATCCGGCGCGAGCCGCATCGAGTGGAAGTTCGACTTCAGCTGCCGCGAGTGGATGGACTGCCTTGTCGAGTGCAAGCAGCTGGGCTCCGCCGGAAGCACGAGGTGCAACGCGTTGCCTTCTCTGGGCGCCAGCAGACGCGAGCGCGCGAGCGCGTGTTGGACCGGACGCTCCAGAGCAACACTCAAGATAGCTCCGGGGACGCTGCGCCCCGCCCGCGCTCGCGCCCCGACTCGGTGCGTGGCATGGCGCAGGCTGCTGATGCTCGGCGACTTTGTGCTCGTCGCTCTCCTCGCCGACTTCCTCTCGCTCTACGCGGAGGCCGTCAAGGAGGGCGGCCTCGAGGCAAACGTCTCGCTCAACGGCGCAGAGATGGCCTACGGGCCCGCTTAATTAGGCCCGTTCGACGCCTTCGCACTGGAACGCTGTTGGGCCAAATAAGAGGTACGTGCGCAGTAGATTCTCGTGTTTGTTTGTCGCGTCTCGCATCATTGAACAAGGCCATCATCTGTGCGCCCCACCCCGTCCGCTCCCTCCCGCTTGGCGCCCATCCCGCCCTCCGCCCTCGCCCCCCGCCCCTGTCCTGGCTGGCCTGGGTGGCAACTCCTCATCATCACGCGCCAGGCGGGAGGGAAGTGGACGGGGCCCTGAGCCGACCTAGCCCTAAACGGAATGGGGCGCCCAACACGTGCCCGGATTACTGTGCCTTCCCCGGGTGCAGCCTTTCGGTTCGTGAAGGGTCGGTGCGTGTCGTGACCCCCTGGAACACCCGTACCCCCGCACCATCTCCGTCGCTTGGTTCCATAACCTCTGCCACCACCGGGAGGCGGCCAGGACTCATAGACTCGGTCGAGAGACCCCAGGTTGGCATCCATGCCTCTCTGGACAGGGTGGCCCGCCACAAGGACCCCAGGAATTGCGACTCGCCGCTTTCCTCCCGCTGTGATTCTGTGTGAGCTCTGTGTCTTGATTTGCCAACAATATACCTAAAACGAAATTGAACAAGGCCTTTGTTCGATGGTGCGGAAAAGAAACTTTGCGCGGAGACGACGCTGCTAAATGGCGGAGACCGGCGGCCTTCCCGAAGCGGTGTGGACAGCGGCCGGGCGGGTCTCGAAAGCCGGGCGGGTCAAGCAGCTGTTGGCGTGGCTCGACAGCGGCGGGCGGGTCAATGCGACTTGGTGAGTGGCGTCACCGCGCTGATACTCGCCGCCCATGAGGGCCACGAGCGGGCGGTCGAGCTGCTGCTTCAGCGCGGCGCGGAGCTCGGCCAGCAGGACAGCGTCGGCTTCACCGCGCTGATTCACGCCGCCCTCAGCGGCCACGAGAGGGTGGTCGAGCTGCTGCTCCAGCGTGGCGCTGAGGTCGACATGCAGAACAGGAAAGGCGGCACCGCGCTGATTCACGCCGCCGAGAACGGCCACGAGCGGGTGATCGACGTGTTGTTGCAGCGCGGCGCGGAGATCAACCTGCAGAACAGCACCGGCGGCACCGCGCTGATGGGCGCCACCTACTACGGCCATGCGCGGGTGGTCGACATGCTGCTTCAGCGCGGCGCGGAGGTCAACCTGCAGAAGAGCGACGGCATCACCGCGCTGATGCTGGCTGCCCAGGACGGCCACGAGCGGGTGGTCGGGCTGCTGCTTCAGCGCGGCGCAGACTTCAACCTGCAGAAGAGCGACGGCGGCACCGCGCTGATGCTCGCCGCCATCAACGGCCACGAGCGGATGGTCGAGCTGCTGCTTCAGCGCGGCGCGGATGCCAACCTGCAGAGCGGCGACGGCTTCACCCCGCTGATGCACGCTGCCAGCAAAGGCCACGAGCGGGTGGTCGACTTGCTGATTCAGCGAGACGCGGAGATCGACCTGCAGGACAGCAAAGGCTACACCGCGCTGGTGGTCGCCGCCAGGTGCGGCCACGAGCGGGTGGTCGAGCTGCTGCTTCAGCGCGGCGCGGAGATCGACCAGCAGGACAGCGACGGCGTCACCGCGCTGATGATCGCCGCCCTCTACGGCCACGAGCGAGTGATCGACATGCTGTTGGGAAACGGCGCGGAGATCAACCTGCAGAACAGCTACGGCTGGACCGCGCTGATGTGCGCCGCCAACAACGGCCACCCCGCCATCGTGCTCCGCCTGCTGCGGGCGGGCGCGGATACGAAGCTGCGCTCTGCGAAGGGCGAGTCCGCGCTGCAGATGGCCAAGGAGGAGGGCCACGCCGAGTGCGTCGAGGCTTTCCGGCAGCACATCGCGGAGGTGACTGCGAGCCGGCGCGAGGCGGCGGCGGGCGGCGCGGGCGGCGCTTCCTCGGGCGAGGGGGCGGCGGGAGCGAGGGCCGTGGCCTCTTCCGGCTCACTGGGCAACCTTCCCCAAGAGGCGGTGGACGCGGCTCTCCAAGGCGACGAGGCGGCGCTGCTGTCGTGGCTCGAAAGCGGCGGGCGGGCCAATGCGACCGCGCTGATGGCCGCCGCTCAGGAGGGCCACGAGCGGGTGGTCAAGTTGCTGCTTCAGCGCGGCGTGGAGATCAACAAGCAGAAGAGCGACGGCTTCACCGCGCTGATACTCGCCGCCATCGGCGGTCACGAGCGGGTGGTCGAGCTGCTGCTTCAGCGCGGCGCGGATGCCAACCTGCAGAACAGCGACGGCGTCGCCGCGCTGATGGCCGCCGCCGGCAACGGACACGAGCGGGTGGTCGAGCTGCTGCTTCAGCGCGGCGCGGAGATCGACCAGCAGGACAGCGACGGCGACACCGCGCTGCTGCTCTCCGCCTCCAACGGCCACGAGCGGGTGGTCGACTTGCTGCTTCAGCGCGGCGCGGGTGCCAACCTGCAGAACAGCTACGGCTGGACCGCGCTGATGTGCGCCGCCGGCCAAGGCCACCCCGCCATCGTGCTCCGCCTGCTGCGGGCGGGCGCGGATACGAAGCTGCGCTCTGCGAATGGCGAGTCCGCGCTGCAGATGGCCAAGAGCAAGGGCCACAGCGAGTGCTGCGTGCGCGCCCTCGAGGAGCACGCGGCGGCGCAGGCAACGGCGAGGGCGGTGGAGAGTGCGGCGGCAGAAGTGGAGGCGGCGCGGCATGCCGAGGCGCTGCTGGCGGAGGAGGAGGCGGAGAGGGAGGCGGGGCGCGCCAAGGAGAGCAAGAAGGGGAAGAAGAAGAAGAAGAAGAAGAAGGGCACGGGCGGCGGCGGAGGCGCTGGGCCGTCGCAGGAGCCCGAGGATGAGGCGGAAGAGGGAGAGGGCGAGGCGGCGGCGGCGGTAGAGGAGGCGGAGCTGGCGGCGGCGCTCGAGGAGAGCGCGAGGCTGGAGGGAGCGAGGCCGGTGGTGGAGGAGCGGACGTTTGTCGCTGCGACCGAGGCTGGTTCGCCGTCGGCTGCTGCCGAGGCGCCAGTTGCGAGGGAGGAGGAGCCGCCGGCCGACTTCATCTGCCCGATCACGACCGAGATTATGGTCGAGCCAGTCGTGGCGGCCGACGGGCAGTCGTATGAGCGGACGGCGATCGAGCGCTGGCTCGCGACCAAGTCGACGAGCCCGCTGACCGGCGGCGAGCTCGAGCGTAGCATCTTAATCCCGAACCACAATTTGCGCCGGACGATTCGAGAGTGGCAGGAGGCGCGGGCGTCACTTTGAGCCCCCAGCGCGGTGAAGATTAGCATCTAGCGCAACGGGGGGCAAGGGACCAACTACCGAGCAGTGCCCAAGCCCGCGCATTGCAGCGCCGGGGACGCGATCCTTCGCGAGCGTGCTTGATGTGAACGCACCACAGTAGTAGTTCTTGCTACTTTCGCGCTTGGGGTACACTTGGCGGGTTGCGCGCGCAGTGCGCGCGTTGCGCGCGCTTTACCTTTAGGGATTAGGCCTTTCTCCTTTTGCGCGTTGGGTTCACTGTGCGCGTGTCTCGAGCGTGTTTGCGTGAAAAACCTCGGACATTTTACCAACTCCTTGGCGACGTGCGCGTCGCGTCGCCAAGGCTCTGCGACCTCGGTCGTACAATCGGCGACCTCGGTCGCACAACCGGCCGGATGCGCGGGTTTTCAGCCAGGTTCCCGCGCACCGGCCACAAACTCGACTCGCACAGCAAAAAAACCCGGTGCTCGCGCGCTGCTCCCACGCTTGACCACACACTCGCTGCACTGCTCAAAGCCAACCCTACCTCACTGGCCGCCTCCAACACTGTCCCGCGCGTCTCGCGCCCCAACTGACAACTCATCTCCCGCGCACCGGCCACGAACTCGACTCGCACAGCAAAAAAATCCGGTGCTCGCGCGCCCCGCTCCCACGCTTGACTACACACTCGCTGCACTGCTCAAAGCCAACCCTACCTCACTGGCCGCCTTCGACACTGTCCCGCGCGTCTCGCGCCCCAACTGACAACTCATCATTGTCCCTCGGACACCACTCTCCAGCCGCGCTACCTTCGCCCACCTACCGCTCTCGCATGACATCTCGACAATCCTCATATCTCCAGGCCCAAGACTCCTAACCACTGCCCCTGCTCGCCCAGGACCACGAAGCGCCGCCCGCGCCCATTGACCCCCCAATCAGCCTCGACAATCAGCCCTCTTGCTGTCCCTCAATCCCCACCCGCCAGATGTACTGCCCTCGCCCACCCAATACTCTCACCCTCCTGACCCGGACAGTCCAGGTACAGGAAAAGCGGGGAGCGGGGCCCGATCCAAGGAGCACCCCGTCGGCCCGGGAGGGCTGTGAATTTCGGCGCGAGCGGAAGGCTGCCTGCAGACGCTCAGCCCCCGGCTGAGCTGCCGAATCCTCCCGGCTAATCCCCTGACCTGCCGCCTGAAACGGGACGACATTACACCACCTCACACACACTCCCCCCTCAGGGCTAAGCAGTGCGCAAGTCCACCCGAACTCTAGGCGAGGCGTCGACCACTCCTTCGGAATAGCTCTGTCAGTGGCTGCACTAGACGCCCAGAGATGGCGCGCGGCGCGGGCGGATGACTGGAAGAGAAAATGCGGAGAGGCTAGCTCGCAGGTAGATGTGCTCAGCCAAGGGTAGGGGATGAGGGGAATGTGTCAGTGTGGGGGGTGCACCAACCGCAGAGCGTTGTGTTTTGCCTTTGAAAACTGAACAGTTTTTTTTTGTCTCGAGCGTGTTTCGCTCCTCCAGTAAATGCTAACCACAATCGTAATTTTTTTGACGATTGACCGAATCATGAGTTTCCACTTTAAGTAGCATATGTATTTCCCCAGCCAAACTTCTCTCACGGCGACGACGCGGTCCGGCTGCGCGGCAGCACGCATCGATCGCCGCGCCTCCCAAAGAGCAGCGTCCAGTTGATGCGGCGGTTGCGGTACCCCGGCTTGAAGGCCACCCGCCCGCTGCGATGGAAGAGGTCCGACTCGAAGACGACGAGCCGATTCTGCCGATACGGCACCGTCACGTTACGGAAGCCGCTCTCCTCCAAAAGGCGGCGACGCGCCGCCTCGTTGTCACCGCCGTGGTTGCGCTGCGCGCCCGTCCAACTCGCGGGCGGCTTCTCCGTGTAGACGACGAGCCCACCCTCCGCGCTGTCGGCCGCGGAGAGCGCCTCGTCGGGGGTGAGCCAGATGTTCAGGTTGACGGCGGCCTCGTCCGCGTGGATGTTGATGCCAGCCTGCATCTCGTCATCGTACTTGTACATCCACGTCGCGGTGAGGCGGTGCGAGCAGAGCACGCGCGGCATCGCCCGCCGAAGCTCGGCCACGGTAGGCTCGATCAGCTGGAAGTGCGCCAGCTCGCCGCCCGAGAAGGTGCCGCCCTCGGCACGCGCGTAGGTGCCGAGGTAGCCTGCCTTCGAGTCCCACCACACGGTGGATCGCATCGCAAACTCGAGCGCGGCTTCGAGCGCGGCGGCCGACAGCAGCCCGTCCACGACCGCCACCGAAGGGGACGCGGAGCCGTAGGTCGCCTGAGCCTCTGCGAGCGCGCGCGATGTCGCGCCGAGGACGGTCTCGCCTGGCGAGAGCTGAGCGTCGTGCACGTGCGCCAGCCGGTTGTGCCAGTGCTTGATCTCGCCGAACTGGGCCGGCGAGAGGACGACCGCGCCAATCGTGTGCGCCTCGGCCTGCCGCCTCGAGAGCCACTCGTCGAGCGACTCGCCCGCGCGCGCTCTCGGCGCCGTCGCCTCCTCGCGCGGCAGCGCGTCGAGCAGCCTCTCGTGGCTGTGAAGCGTGGCGCGCAGCATAGCCTCCGTCAGCCCGCTCTGCCGCAGGCTGCCATTGCCGACGGCCCCAAGCAGGTACTCGAGCTGTTCTGCGTCGTGCCGCAGCCGGTGCCTCCTCGTCGCGAAGCCTCGCGCGGCCGCCGCGCCCTTGGCTCGCGCGGTCGTCTCGTGCCCAATCAAGCCGGGAGTCCAAGCCTGCCCAAAATCCGTCAGCCCGATCGCCTCGCTTCGGCAAACGGGCACCGCCCCAACGCCGCTGCCGCCGGTGCTGTCGCTGCCTCCTCGGCAGTCGTGCGGAGGCACCCGGTGCACCACCGCTGTGTACGCGGCTCTCGCCCTGAGAATGCCCTCGAGCTCGCCCGCGGCTTGCCAAGCCAAGATGGCCAGCTGCTGCGCCTCAATCCAGCCGTCTGCCGCCGAGGCGTTTGGCGCGTCAATGGCGGCGGCCGCCGCTTCGCACGCAAGCGCAGCCTGCCGCCACGAGCGCCGCCCGACGGCGGCGGCGGCAAAGCTCCAAAGCGCTCCGCTAGCGAAGCTTTCGAGGCCGGGGTCGCCCGACATGAAGGCCTCGAGCAGCGAGGCCGCCGTGGCTTTCTCCACCTCGTCCTCTCTCTCGTCCGCGAAACTGCATCGCTCGGCGAGGCTCCGCAGCCAGTTCGCAGCCGACCGGCCTGCGTAGAGCGCGGCACGTGGCGCGCGGTCAAAGAGGAAGGCGGCCAGCAGCGGCTTCCGTAGCAGTCGCCCCAGCGTCGCCGCCTCCACCTTAGCGCCCGCCTCTACGAGGAGTCGAGCAATCTCCAGCTGCCGGTCGAGGTGCTCTTTGCTCGCCTCGGGGGAGAATGTGTCCGCCGCAAAGTCGAGCGGCGTCGCGTGGTTGTGCGCGTCGAGCGCCTCCAACGAGGCGTTAAACTCGATCAGCACACGGACCACGCCCACGCTCCCGGCCGCGACAGCGCGATGCAGTCCGGTCAGCCCGGTCGACTCACGGGCCTGAGGAGAGGCTCCGGACTTGAGCAGCGCTCGGACGAGCTCGGCGTTGCCCTGCTGGACGGCATGCACGAGCCGCCTGTCCTTTGGCGGCCGGGCGGGCTCGGCGATGGTGCGTGCGCCCGCGGAGCCGTGGCCGGCGACCACGCCCTCTCTCCGCTCCGGCGGAGGCTGCAGCGGGTTTGAGAGCCAGCACGGCAGAATCGTTGCCGCGAGCGCGCTCGAGATTGCCGCCGCGACCGCGATGGTGGTGAAGTGCGTGTCGGCCTTGCGCTTCGCCGACGGCGGCTTGTGCTGCTGCGCCTTGCTGCCGCCGGATTTGCCCATGCGAGCACCGATGAAGAATTCTTAAGAGCCGCAAGGGGCCCATAGGGGTCACGCGGAGGGAGGCGCTGTTAGCGGCGGAGGAGGCGAAGGCGGCCGCGCGGGCGGCGGAGAAGGCGGCGCGGGCAGCGGAGGGGGGGAAGGGCGGCGGCAGCGGGCGGCAGTCCCGCGAGGCACGCCGGCGGAAGGGTTCGTCTTCGCGGGGCGGGGTGCGCACTGCGCGCCGCGAGGATGAGGAGCCTGAGCCAGGGGAGGGTTGGGAAGGGGGGGCGAGGCCGGAGGAGTATGACGGCCTCTTCGACGGCCCATAAGGGGCCGTTGTCTGCTGTGCCTTTTGTGGTGCTAGTTCGTGCCAGTCTGCTGTGAGAGGGGCTTTTATTCGTAGAATTCTTAAGAGACAAGCCTCTCTCACAGCACACTGGCACGACAAGGGCGCAGACTGGCGCGGACTGGCACACACACAGGCTCACCGATGAAGAATTCCGGAAAAGGTGGACAGCGTCCTAATCTAAAATCCGAGGATTAAGGATTCAGGCATCGCTTCAGTGAGGCCAAAGTAGTGCTGGGGGGGGCGACAGGGAGGATGTGGCCCTGAGTTATGTGTACGCCGACTCCGGGTGTGTGGCAGCCAGCTGGCTGTGTGTCTTGTGAGCCTGTTTGTGTCTGTGTGTCGCTCGTGCGTGTCGTCATCATCTGTCCAGCGTCCACCCATACCGCGTTGGTGTCCAGTCCGAGCCTGGCTGTTCTTCACCTTTCTACCTACCTACCTACCAAAGTGAGGTTATGGATGTGTGAGAACGGTACGGAACGCGAGGAGTCACGCGGACCGACTCGTCGGTGACTCTGCTGCACGCGTTTCAGAATTTTTCTCAGCGTGAGCGAGACGTGGAAGAGTGCCACCGTCGGGTAGTACGGGTCGGCCCGGAGTATCAGAGTAGCCGTCGTGGTCGCGGCGAGCAGCGCCGGCCACTCCGGCGCCGCGTCGGCAACATGTGAGCATCAGGTGAGCATGTCCACCGCCACTTCGCGGTCGCAGCGCTGTTTGTCGCCCAAAACGCCTAATGTACCTCTGGCGGGCCAAAGATCGACTCGCATGTCGATTTCGACTTGACGGGCGCATGCAGGCATCACGTCTCCATGCGCCCGTCAAGTCGAAGCCAGTCTTCGGCGACCACAGCCCTCGCAGGAGATACATTAGAGCTTTTCAGAGTCAAGCGATTGCGCTGTCTACCCCCTAGCGAAGTGGGTCCCGTCCCTCGATTTCCTCAACTCACACGGTCCACACCCTTTAGAAACAAGCGAAGGCACACACAACATGACGCCAAACACACGATTGCACGCACCGCACCGCACCCAGCACTCCGCGCCCGCCGCCCCCCCACCGCCCCGCCTAGGTGGGAAAGAGATGAGGAGATGGGACAGCGAAGGAGGAGCACAAACACGTATGTGACGCGCGCGAGAACAGCCACGCCATCTTGCTGTATGCTGTGCTGGCAATATGTTGGCAATGTGCGTATATGTGCCAACGCGCAACGAAGGTCAACGCCGCCGAACCCGCCCGCCGCCCCTGCCTTTTGTTGGCCGTGGCACCCGATGCACTTGTTCGCCGTTCACCTCAGCGAGCAATCGGAAGCCTGGTCGTAGGTATGCGCGCTCTGCCTGGCCAGAACTGAAAATGCTCACCTGGCTATAGTTTTGCTCGCCGCAGAGGAGCGGCACCACTCTGGGATTCTCCGAGATTATGATGTCGATCGTGACCTTCGCCCAATCGAGCGACCGCAACGCCGCCACTTCGTGGCCCTCTATATCGAGAGAGAGGTAGTCGACATGATCAATCTGTTGAGAGGCGAGCGCATCCGTGAACGAGGTGCAGCCCGCAATCTTGACGACAGATGCACGATGCGCGCGGTCACTGGGCATTGGCGAGCCCAGGTGCGAGTGCCCACCAATCTTGTCGCCAGCGTCGTGTCGTGTGACGAGTTGCAGTGCGGCGTCCCCTTCCCTTGCGCACGTGGAGACGGCCCGCGCCTCGAGGGCGCACGTGCGCTCGCTAAGCAGCCGCGCATGGTGCGCCGGATTGGGCTCGATACACACGCCTCTCCAGCCCAGGCACGTGTCAAAGAAAAAGGTGTTGGAGATGACCATGGCGTCGTTTGCCGCAAGGTCGACGTAGGTGCCTTGGCGCTTCATGAAACGAGCATGATTCATGTAGATCCACCAGTCCTGGCCGAGCTGCGAGAGGAAATGCGGCACCGCACACCCACTCTGGTCCGTGTGGAAGCCCATGCCTGCAATCGCTTCAAATCGTGGGCTGCGCATGTACGCCTCCTGCTGATAGCGAGGGTTGGAGTTTGGCGGGCTCATGAGCATGAGCGTGGCGGCCGACGCTGACCGCAGGATTTCGCACCAGCGGCGGCCGGCAGCTGACTTCATGGCGGTCGTTTCAATCGTGTGCGCAGGCATGGAGCAATTTGGCATTGCCATGAAGTCAGCTGAGCCCCCGCCGAGCGCGCCCGCGCCGTGCGAACCTGTGCCGTGCGGGGGCGCATGGCGCGCTTCCGTGCCGTTCGCAGACTTGAGCGCCTCAATCTCAGCTTGCATCGCCGACATCCTGGCATCGTTCCTGGCAGCTGTTGCCGCCATCTCCTGGCGCATCTCTCGTAGAAGCTCCGCAACCTCTGTCGACGAACTTGGTTCGCCCGCCAGCGCCTTGACGGCCGCAGGAAGGAGACCCACAAGAAACCAGAGCCGCGCTCGCTGCATCGTTCTGGGTCTAGAAATCATGATTGGTGTCTCACGGTCAACTTGGCGTCGCGAGGACAAGGTCAACTTGGCGTCGCAAGGTTGGATGAAATCACGCTCGCGTTTCTTTTTCTTTGGGAAGGCAAGGGGAGAGAGAGAGAGAGAGAGTGGTGCATTGCGTACACAGCCATCGTGTCTAGCGTTGAAATTTGCTGCTTCGTGAGCTGCTTCAAAAGCTTGTGGACGAGCGTATTATTGTTTACTTTATTTAGTTAATGGTTGGATGGGGGCATTCATGCCGTTGGGGGGCGTGTAGTGTTTAAATGTGTGAGATTCTGCTGCGAATAGAGGTTGGGGGCAAAGTGCACTGACGTGGATTGAGGGGAGGGGGGATATCAACCTCGAGACCTCGAGAGCGATAGGGGGTGTATCGACAGCATCGCGGCCGCATCCATCGCGGCGCCGGAGTGGAGTAAGGGATGGTCGCCGCGCCCGCCTCGCTTTCACGGGCTCGCGAGCTGCTGGAGGAGGAGCATTGTGGCGCCGCTTGCGTCTCTCTCGCGCAGAAGGGCGACTGGGGCCGCTACCTCGCACTGATCAAGCATTCCGGCAGCTCTGGTACTCTACGGCGTTGATCACCAAATACCCCCCCCCACCCGCACAGGACGTCGCCTCTGGCCAGCAGGAGCGACCATACCCCCCCACCCCCCACCCCACCACACGAGCGTACAGTAACCGTCGTGTTAGGCCGTCCGGACCGGTCGTGCGGCACGGGTTCGCGCGATGCAGTCTGCGCGAGGTGACCCGCCGGCAATCGTGCTCACCCCTCAGAGCGTGTCCGCAAAGGCCGCCAGGGCCTTGCGTGCCGGCGCAGGTGCGGGCGCGACCGGCGCGGCCGGTGCGAGCGCGGGCGCGGGCGCGGGCGCGGTCTCCGCCGGCGCCGCCTCCGCCATGGTCACCTCCGCTGGAGCCGCCTCCGCCTCCGCCACCTCCGCTGGCGCCACCTCCGCCTCCGCCATGGTCACCTCCGGCGTCTCCGCCGCCTCCGCCTCCACCTCCACCGCCTCCGCCGCCGTCGCCTCCGCCGCCGGCGGCGGCGGCGCGGCCACCGTGGGCGCGCGCGCGCGCGCCATCTCGAAGGGGTTGCGCGGCTGGCCCGAGTTGGGGGGGCTCTTGTAGTACATGCCCCACTCGTTGAAGACGTTGTGGTCCGTGTCCGCGTCCGAGATGACGCCCTTCGGGCAGCCGTCCTCGGGCTCGTCAATGAGCTCGCGCTTCTCGGGGATACCCATCACTGAGCCGACGATGCTATGGGTAGCCCCAGGGTGGCGCCCACCCCCATACCCTAGCAACCAGCTGAATGTTGTGTGTAGAGTAAGGGTCCTGTGCAAATGGTGCGTCGAGCCAGCGTCCATCGGTCATGGTAAGGTGTACGTTGTCTCTTCACTCGAACTCGCAGTGGGTGACACCCCCCCCCCCCCCCTGGAAGCGATGTGCGCCGGCTCTAGGTAGGTGGTACGTAGGACAATACCCTTGGCTACAGTGGCTATTCGGTGATCAGGAATATTTGGAATGAGGCCGAGGACCGCGAGATGACGCTGCCAGATGTGCGAGCTGCTCGTCTCCTTGACGGGATCGATGAACTCACACGACTGATGAATGTTGTCGTGTACTAAAGGAAACGGCGCGGCGGATTTTCCGGATTTTCTCTTTTCCTAAATTCTAATCGCGATATTTCGGCAATTTTTCGGTGCTGGTAGCCTCCCCAAAACAGGCGCGCGCAGCGCGCCCAGGGGCGCCGCAGGCGCCCCAAGCGGCGCGGAGCGCCGCCGCAGGCGGCGGACAGCAGGTGCGCGAAATTAAACGCCATTTTTGGTTCCGCGGTTTTGCCACTAACATTGAAATCCGGTACAAAACGACTTAGCCGAAACAGCTGACAGACAGACAGAGAGCACACACGTTCGAGACGGGGGTGCGCCGACCGCCGTCGCGGACCCAGTAGAGCTAGATGGTCCCACATGATGCGCCCTTAGCCTCTGAGCTCGTCCTAGACATTTTAGGGAAGCGTGGGCAGACCAGAACGCGGCCACGGCGACGCTCCGAGGCTGTCAGCAGCGCTGGCGGCGATCGTGGCGACGGCGCCTCGCCGCTGCAGCGGCACAGAATCGAGGAAGTGGCGTTGGTGGCAGCATCAATGAGATATGAAGGCGGCCGTAATGCTGGTGGCGCCTTCGAGGGCGGCGGAGAGGGCGGTAGCAGCGACGGCGATCGAGTCATGTGGCAGGGGTGCGAAGATGCAGCAGGGAGGCTTGAGTTAGCGACGCGGGGCGGTGGCGTGCCAGCAGGTAAGCGGCGGCGGAGGAGAGCAGGTGCGCGAAATAAAGGCCAATCTTGAGATATCCATTTTGCACCACCTTTGGATTTCTGGTACAAATTGACTTGTGGATCTTGAAGGCACGCGCAAGAGCGCACCAGGCAAGTTGACTGAACCTCGGATCTCGCTGCCGCTAAGCGTGGCGTCGATTATCAAACGAGCGGTGACAGTAGCGGTGGCAGCGGCGGCAGCGTCGACAGGAGCACCTACTGCAGCGTGAAATGTGAGCTGGGAGGCGGGAGGCAGATGCAATAGGAGCGGGAGAGTGAGACTGTCAGCCAGCACGGCAGACCTTTAAAGCGCGGCTGCGGGCGCGTTTGCAGTGACATGCGATCCATGTGGTAGCAAAGGCACGGCGGGAGTAGCGTATGCAGGCTGTGCGCGAGGGTGGCGCGTCGCGAGTGGCGGTGCAGCTAGTCGGTGGCGCGGGTGCTGGCGACCGGCAGAGAGATGCAGCCGGCGCGAGAGATGAACCCTGCGGAGAGGCGAGGTGACGGGCGAGCCGCGACCGTGGGAGAGGGCTGAGCATCGGCTGCACCGGAGGCACAGGAGCCTCGCACGCCCGACCGTGACGAGAACGAACCGACGCTAACGGTCAAGCTGCGTCGGTTCGCTACCAGCACCGAATGGGTACCCTCCCCGATATTTCGAATTCAGCGCAGGGATTCTTTTATGGAATACAACTGTATGTAGTTTCCAATAATATATGCTTCGGCACTCGCGCGGCCTCGCTCGCGGCGTTCGGCCACGCGTGAAGGCCAGCAGCAGGAAACCACGAGCAGTTCGCTCGGCCGATGCCAACTCCTCCTCAGGTGGCGGCAAACGGCGGCGACAGCACCTCGGAGAGGCCTTGGAGCGTGTGCGTCTTGGAGAGGAAGCGGCGCGTGATTTGCCACTCTCGCCGTCGCCCAGGCACTCCGACGCACGCTCGGACAGCAGTGGCGCGCGGCAGGTCTATTACGCCAAGTGGGAGGCCTTGCTCCGCATGGAGTGGGAGTGCGAAGAGGCGGCGACGAACCAGCGGCTGCTCGAGTGGCCTGTCGAGAAGCTCGAGAAAGAAGGCCTCTGCCTCGCCGGTCTGAGCGCACGCCGGCGCAAGGGCCGCTTCTACTCGCAGCAGATCCTGCGCCTCAGCCTGCGCCGGAGCGGGCTCAAGCACTCCTTCCAGCCGGGCGACGAGGCCCTCTCGCGCGGCTGCAGGAAGAGTCTAGGAAGTGTCGAGGAAGTGTCTAGGAAGTGTCTAGGAAGTGTCTAGGTCCTCCTCTCGCGCGGCTGCCCGCTGCAGGGCGGCGCTGCCAGCCTCAAGGGCGAGGTCCTCGAGCTGCACGTCGGACACATCGACGTCGCGCTGTCCGCCGCCGCCGCCTCGCCTCCAGACGGCGTCGAGAGGGAGACGTGGAGGCTCGACCGCGTCGCCAATCGGATTGCCTGTGTAAGGTAATTAATTAGCCATTTTTTAATTAATTAGGCTCGACCGCGTCGCCAACCGGACCGCCTTTGATCGCACCGTCGCTGGCCTGCGCTCTTGGGCCGGGGACAGGCTCCCGCAGCTCCGAGGGCCTGGCCTACCTAGTGAATGAGTGGCCAAGGACTGAGCGATTGGTGTGACAGGTTCCGCAGCTCCGAGGGCCTACTGGTGTCTATGAATGAGTATGTAGACTCAAGGAATGGGCGATTGCTGTGACAGGTTCCGAGGCTCCGAGGGCCTCCGCTCGCTGCTGATCGTTGAGCTGCCGCGCCGCGCCGCCGCACGAGCGGCAGCCGGAGGCGGCGCGGGCACGGGCACTGGGCGACACTTCCTAGACACTTCCTAGACACTTCCTAGACACTCCCTAGGCACGGGCGCTGGGCGCGTCGCCGAGCGGTCGCAGCGGCAGTCCGTTGACGGTGCCGATTTCAGTGAGCTTGAGTTGTGCAGGCGCGATGGCAGCAATCTCGCGCGATCTCGGGCAATCTCGGGCAGTCTCGGGCAATCTCGGGCAATCTCGGCAAGTTGTACAGGCGCGACGACAGGCCGGCGCGCGTTGTGTGGGGAAGAGAGCTCGACTCGCAGGGCGTGCCGCAGGTGGCCTCGTCCAGCTCCGCCGCTGCCGCCGTTGCTGCGCCGGCGCTAGCCGCCACCACTCTCAGGCAGCCGCGAGTCGCGGGATGCAATCCCGCTGCTGCCGCGCCGGCGCCGGCCGTGGAGCCTTCCGCGCTTGCGGCGGCGGCGCCGGTTGCGCGTTCTGCCGACTCATCCGAGGGAGTCGGGCTGCGGCGGTTGTGGGAGTGGGCGGGCGAGTGGGCGGGAGGGGCGCTGGGGCGGCTCGGTGGCGGCGGCGGAGGCGGCGGCGGAGGCGGCAGTGGCGGCAGTGGCGGCAGTGGCGGCAGTAGTGGCAGTGGCGGCAGCAGCGGCGGCGGCGGCAGCAGTGAGCGTCGGCCACGGGGGACGTCTGCAGAAGGAGAAGCAGCGGCGGCGGCGGCAGCTGCGGCGGCGGCGGCAGAGGCGGCAGCAGAGGCAGCGGTGGCGGCGGAAGCGGCGGCGGCGGCGGCGGCGGCAGAGGCGGCGGCGGCGGAGGAGGCGGCGCTGGAGACGGGCTTGCGAGCGGCGGTCGAGGCGGACGACTTTGAGAAGGCAATCGTGTTGCGCGACCGGCTGCGTCGACTGAGGGAGGCCCGTGCGCCCGCCACCACCACCGCCACCTCCTCCTCCTCCTCCGCCGCCTCCGCTGCCTCCTCCTCCTCCTCCTCCTCCTCCTCCTCCTCCTCCTCCTCCTCCTCCTCCTCCTCCTCCTCCTCCTCCTCCTCCCGGGCTGCGCCAGAGGTGTCGATCGCCGCAGAGCTCTGCACAGCGGCGGGCGCCGCCCTCAACCCTTCGCAGCTCGGCGCCATCCACGCCGCGCTCGCCTCCCCCTCTCCGCTGGTCGCGGTGCAGGGCCCTCCCGGCACCGGCAAACGACGCTGCTCGCGCGCATCTAGCTGGTGGTCGTTAACAACGGGGTATTCACTATGAAAGGCACCGGCAAGACTGCCACCACGTGTGCGCTGCTCAAGGTCGCCGCGAGCGGCGGTGGCGGCGGGCCGCTGCTGGCGTGTGCCGACTCGAACGCCGCGGTGGACCCGCTGCTCGACGGCCTGCTCCCGCCGTGAAGTGCGTCTCTTCACACCTGCGGCTGTGAACAGGTGGACCAGCTGCTCGACGGCTTGCTCAAGCTCGGCGTGCGCGGCGTGCGGCTCGGGCAGGCGAGGGCGGGAGATGCGGGGAGATGTGTGGAGAGGCAGAGGTGTGGACTCAGCGGATGATGGGACTACCCCTACCCCGAACCCTAACCCTAACCCTAACCTACCCCTACCCCTACCCCTACCCCCACCCCTACCCCTAACCCCACCCCTAACCCTAACCCAAACCCGAACCCTACCCCTAACCCTAACCCTACCCCTACTGTGCCCCGCCCGCGCGCGTCTCGAAGGCTGTGAACGGCGTCTATTCACACCTCCAGCTGTGAATAGCCCGCGCGCGTCTCGAAGCGGCTGCGAGACGCGACGCTGACCGCGAGACTCGAGGCGCACCCCTACCCCTACCCCTACCCCTGCTGTGAACGGCGTCTATTCACACTCGTTCCGCGAGACTCGAGGCGCACGCGGAGCGAGGCGCGAGCGTCGAGCTGCGGCTGCGGCTGGCTCGTAAGGTAATTAACTGAGTAACCAATTGTCAATGAGGCGCGAGCGGCGAGCTGCGGCTGCGGCTGGTGCGGCTGCAGAAGGACCTGCCCCTGCTGAGCGGCGCCGAGCTCTCCGCCGCGAGGCGCACGCTCCGCTCGGGCTGGCCCCGTATCTCCCCATATCTCCCCATATCTCCCCATATCTCAGGCGCACGCTCCAGTCGGGCTGGGCGACGCTGCGGCAGTGGGAGGAGCGGATGAGAGACGACATCCTCGCGTCGGCCGAGGTCATCTGCAGCACCCTCATCGGCGCTGGCTCGGAGTCGCTCGGCGGCCTCACTTTCTCGCTCGTGGCGATCTTAATTTAATTAATCAAACCCTATTTGTTAATTAATTAATGATTAATAGGCGGCCGCACTTTCTCGCTCGTGGTGATCGACGAGGCGACGCAGGCGACGGAGCCCCGCGCCTCCATCGCCCTCGCCCTCGCCCGCGGCCGCGTGGTCCTTGTCGGCGACCCGCAGCAGCTGCCGCCCACGACGCTCTCCGAGGAGGCGCGCAGGGCGGGCCTCGCCGTCTCGCTGTTCGAGCGCGCCCTCGCCGCAGGCGTCGCCCCGTACCTCCCCATATCTCCCCATATCTCCCCATATCTCCCCATATCTCCCCATATCTCCCCATATCTCCCCGTATCTCCCCGTATCTCCCCATATCTCCCCGTATCTCCCCCATATCTCGCCGTCGCCGCAGGAGTCGCCCCCGTCGTGCTAACCACTCAGTACCGCATGCACCCGCTCCTCGCCGCCTTCTCGAGCGCAGCCTTCTACCGCGGCGCCCTCACCAACGGTGCCGACCCCGCCGACCGCCTCCCGCCGCCGCGCTGGCCGAGCAGACGCCCTCTCCTCTTCGTCGACGCCGCGGGACGGCGCGGCGAGAGGGCGGCGCCCGGCGGCGTCTCCGTCCTCAACCACACCGAGGCGCACTCTCGGGGAATCTCGTGGAATCTCGGGGAATCTCGGGGAATCTCGGGTAAGAGGGGTCTCCGTCCTGCACACCGAGGCGCGCGCTGTCGCTGACGTGGTGGCTCGCGTGTGCGGGCGGGAGGGCGGCGCGGCGCCGTCCGACGTCGGCGTCGTCTCGCCGTACCTCGGCCAGGTCGCCTTGCTCAAGCAGCTGCTGGCCAAGCAGGGACGCGAGGAGGCGAGGCAAGCCCGCGCTGGCGGCGGCGGCGGCGGTGGCGGCACCGGCCCCAGCGGAGGCGACGCCGACGGCGGTGTCGGCGGAGGCGAGGGCGGCGGCGGCGGCGGCGGCAGGGGCGCGGGCGGAGGGAGGAGCCAAGGCGGTGCTTTTGCGGCGGCGGACGCCACTCTGTCGGAGGAGGCGGTGGAGGTGATCTCGGACAATCTCGGACAATCTCGGGGAATAGGCGGACGCCACTCTGTCGGAGGAGGCGGTGGAGGTGCGGACGGTGGACGGTTAGCTGTGAACAGCGCAGCTGTGAAGAGTGCAGCTGTGAATAGGTGCGGACGGTGGACGGTTTCCAGGGGCGAGAGAAGGAGCTCATCGTCTTCTCGGCGGTCCGCTCCAACGGCCGTGGCACTGTCGGCTTCCTGGCCGACCACCGCCGGCTCAACGTCGCGCTGACCCGCGCGCGGCGGGGGCTCGGCGTGCCTGGCGACGCAATCTCGGGAGATCTCTCGGGTAATCTCGGGGACAATCTCGGGTGACAGGCGAGGGCTCATCGTGATTGGCGACGCGGCGACGCTGCGGCACGACCCGTGCTGGGCAGCCTTCCTCGAGTACGCGGCCGCGGTTTCTCTTTTTTTGCGCCACACCTCGGCCAGGGTGCTAGGTGCGAGCGGCGCCTCTTCACGGCCGTAGCTGTGAGCAGGCGCGGTGCATCGGCTCGCTCGACGCGCAGGGGCGGGTGCTCGACGAGGACGGCCAGCTGCACGGGGTGCTCTGACGCTCGAGCTACGGTAGGGCGGCTTTGGGCGCTCGCGCCGCCGCTGGGCGCCACGGCGCATGCGAGGTGCCACATCGCTCAACGCTTGAGCCTTGAGGATCATGTGTTAAATGTGTGGGTGAGCACACGAGGCATGGCAGCGTCCGTGTGCCGTGCAATTTGAGCAAACACTCTAAACAAGACATATCCCAGCCAGCACACGCCGGTTTTGTCAGACAGGCCCTGCAGACTGCGCATAGACTTCTCGCAAGGATCTTTGCGGCAGTCAAGCGGATGCTGCGGCAGTCTGACTTTGTAGTCAAGCGGATGCGGGCGTGCTAGGCGGCCACGCCTCGATCTTCTTGGGTTGCAGCTGGTTCGACAGGTCCTCTCCGTGGCCTAGGCGGGCGTCTTCGCCCTCGCCCCAGGAGAAGACGGCGCCGTCGGCGGTGAGGGCGAGGCTGTGGCCTTGGCCAACCGACACACCCACGGCGCGCTGGCCAGCAAAGGCCTCGATCTTCTTTGGCAGCAGCTGGTTCTGCTGGTTACCGTGGCCCAACCGGCCATCGGCTCCAAAGCCCCAGCTCCAGACGCTTCCGTCAGCGGTGAGGGCGAGGCTATGACTATCTCCAGCCGACACAGCGACGACGCGCCACCCAGCAAAGGCCTCGACCTTCTTGGGCAGCAGTTGGCCCTGATGGTCGCTGTGGCCCAACCGGCAAGAGCAGCCCGTGCCCCAACTCCAGACGGCGCCGTCGGCGGTGAGGGCGAGGCTGTGGTGCAATCCAGCCGACACAGCCACGACGCGCTGGCCGGCGATGGCTTCGACCTTCTTGGGCAGTAGCTGCCTCTGCCCGTCGCCGTGGCCCAGCCGGCCGGAGGCTCCCCAGCCCCAGCTCCAGACAGAGCCGTCGGCGGTGATGGCGAGGCTGTGGTGCATTCCAGCCGACACTGCGACGACGCGCTGCCCAGCAAAGGCCTCGATCTTCTTGGGCAGTGGCTGGTGCTGCACATCGCCGTGGCCCAGCTGGCCATCGCCTCCACCGCCCCAGCTCCAGACGGCTCCGTCGGCGGTGAGAGCGAGGCTGTGCACGCCTCCAGCCGACACAGCGACGACGCGCTGGCCATCAAAGGCCTCGACCTTCTTCGGCTGCCACTGGGGCTGCTCGTCGCCGTGGCCCAGATTGCCAAAGCTTCCAAGGTTGCAACCCCAGCTCCAGACGCTGCCTTCGGCGGTGATGGCGAAGCTGTACCCGGCTGCAGCCGAAACGCTCACGACACGCTCGCCGCCCAGTGGCGAAGGGATGAGGGTCGGCGTGTTGAGCCGTGGCACGCCCTCGCCGTGGCCGAGTAGCCCTGGGTTGTAGTCCGGCGCCGAGCCGCACGACGAGAGCCGCCCCTCGCCGTCGATGAAAACGCTCTGCCGATAGCCTGCCGCCGCCCTCGCCGGCGGGTTGGACTCGCGCAGCAGCGCAGCGAAGCACAGCCTCCGCACGGCGCAATCCTCGCCCTCTGGCAGCGCCGGCAGCTCGAAGCCGCGCTCTCGCGCCCACAAGCGGATGGCCTCCACCGCGAGTGAGGCGTGGAAGAGCGGCGAGACGGCCGCGGCGCGAGCGATGTCGAGGGGGTCGCAGCGGGAGAAGGCGCGGACGAGGAGCTCCGTGGGGAGGTCGAGGAGACGGGTGGGCGGCGCGTCTGGCGAGGGAGCGGCGGTGAAGGAGGAGGCGAGGCGGCGCGAGCGGCGGCGCGGCGGGCACATCGCGAGGAACGAATGAAAAGAAAAACAGTCACACAAATTTGCTTTCACCATCCCAGGAGAGCCGCAGCAGTGTATGGCACACGTTCATTCATGCCATCAGGGGGTCGCAGCTGAGATTGGACCATCAGGCGGGAGCGGCCTGACGTGAACTAAGGTAAGGTAAGGTAGATTTCTCCTCCACACACACAAAGTGGTGGGGCAAGGGGGGGCGCGACCCTCGCATCTCCACGCCCGGACACGGGCAGGAGCCCCACGGCATTCAAAGTACAAGCACTGGCCCGGTGCACGTGGGTGAGCAGCCTGCCCCTCCCTCCGACAAACCAACTCCCGCACGGCACACACAATCGCACTCTCGACTCTGGCCATCGAATGACTCCGAATGACTCACTGTGTGTGCTAAGACAGAATCTCCGCAGACATCCAAAACGGGCCGTGCCGCGTTTGTGGTGTCTTCTCAAGCACTAGCATCGACGTGAACTCGTAGCCACGGAAGGGTCAAGCATGTTTTATCTTGCTTCTTGGAGTTGGAGGGCGCGCGAAGAAGAAAAACAGGTCTGAAGTGCTCCAAGATCAGCCAAAAACTACGGACTAAAGAGCGAACAGCTCACACTGCCTCTCGCCGCAGCAAACGCTCGTCTGCAAAGACGCGCGGCACCTTGCGCAAGTCCGCGTCGCGCTTCCGCTCGGGGTAGCAGAAGGTAAACTCTCTGCGCAGCGCGTGTGCCACCCACCCCGCCGCGGCAAGCAGCACCGCGGACACGGCCCCTCGGCTGAGCAGCGGCCCGCCGGCCGACGCGCGGCCGACAGCGGCCAACGCGAGCGCCCACGCCGCGTTGCGCGCCATTCGAAGCCGCGCGACGAGCGACGAGGAGTCGGGGCAGACGCGTGTGTGCTGCGCCTAAGTTGTGAACACGCGGACGTCAGGCGCAAGACCGCGCCGCGTACTCGGAGCATCGCGCGCATACAAAGTATCGCGCGCATACAAAGGCTGTTAGTGGATACAGCCGCATGCAGAGTGGATACAGCCGCATGCCCGGTCTGTCTTTCGCATCTAGGGTGCTGCGCAGCGCGGTCGAGGACCACGTGCCGCGGCGGGCACGCTGCCGTGAGCAGCTCGGGTGAGCGGTACCTGTCCAGTGTCTTTTGGTTCATAATAGGGTGGAGGAGAGAGGCGTGGGGCCGGATCTCGGAGTGAATCTTGCTGCGAGGCGCGCGGTGCCGGTTCGGCATGCGCGGGGTGGCGGCGTCCAGGAAAGCGCCCACCTCGAGCAGCATCTTCTCCGTCGGCGAGCGGTACCTATCCACAGCGCAAGGGGTGTGAGCGGCGTCTGACTCTTGACAGCTGCATCTTCCCCGTCAGCGAGCGCTACTTGTACAGCGCTCGCCGCAGAGAGAGCTGCTCGCGCGCGGCCGGCGGCGCCGTGCCGTCCTCGGCAGCCGCTGAAAATGGCGACGACGGCGCTGTCGACGAAGACGAGTGACGGCGCTCGAGCTCCGCCCGCAGCACGTGCGGCTGCTGCGTCGCGAGGAGGAGGGTGTCCTGGTCGAGGAAATTGTTGAGGCCCACGTGCTGCAGCCAGCGAGGCAGCGCGACGGGGAGGCCGCGGCCGACGCCCGCCTAGCAACAGAAGAGCGCGAAGGAGTCACAAAAAGAGGCGGGGGCTTGGCCTTGCGATCCGCGCGATGGGAGGCGCGCACCGCCATGAAGCGCGTGCGGCCGACGCCCGTCGGCGAGAGGAAGAAGCACGTCAGGAAGCTGGACGCGCCCGCGCCGTCGCGCCGGCAGCTGACGATGACCGCCGGCGGGCGGAAGGTGCTCGATGCCTCGAGCTGCGGCGTGTCGGCGGAGGCGGCAGCGTACGCCGTGCGCACGGCAGTGCTCCCGGCGCTCTCGGCTTGCCGCCTCGTCAGCTTGGCCCACGCTGCGACGCGGGATTCGATGGCGAAGGCGGCAGCCTCGTCCTCAGCCTCGTCCTCAACCGCGCGCACGGTCACGCGCTGCGGCGCGTCGGGGCTGGCCGAGTAGAGGTCGAAGGCGGGCAGCTGGTGCGCAAAGAGGCCGTGGTCGGGGTCGAGGATGTTCTCGACCAGGAGCGAGTAGTCGATGGGCAGGTCGCGCACGGCCGGTGACCACTTGTACCGCTCGTCGTCCATCTCTGGCACCCTTGGCACCTCTGGCAGTGGAGCCGTGCCACGCGGTGCTGGGTGCAGCCAGAGGATGCCCTGAGACACGACCGCCGTCGCCGCGCGGGTGCAAGCAGAGGCGAGGCTCCCGCCAGCAGGCAGCTGCGGGATCGCTTTGCACGCACCGCTGTCGTCGAACGCCCACCCGTGATAGGCGCACTGCAGGAACCCCTGCTCCGTCAGCCGGCCTTCGCTGAGCGCCGCGAGCCGGTGAGGACAGACATCACGTAGCGCCAGAGGCGGCTGCCCGTCCGATCGCAGCACGACCGCGTAGTCGTCGTCGAAGAGCGTGACGCGTGTGGGCCGGTCGACAGGAAGATCGCGCGTCCACGCCATCGGGTACCAGTGAGCCATCCAGTCAAAGGCGGCGTACCGCTGGGCGCTGGTCAGCGTCCTCGCGTGCGTACCTCCCGTCAGACCACCAGCTGCGAGCGCACCAGCTGCGAGGAGGAGCATCGCGACGGCAACCGATGCAAGCCTCGTGTAATTCTTTTCCTAGGCGGCGGACGTGCTACTCTCGAGGTTCTCGAGGTTGATATCCTTTGGCCGCGTTGGGTAGCGAGGATTGGTGTGACGCGATCCACGCAGGCGTGGTTTCTGACGGCCGACCGTCAGTGCACGGAGTTGCCCCTTCTCCGACTGCCCCGGCTAGTTCCCGAGTTTCGCGGGAGTGACCCCATGCGTCAAACCCGAGACCTAGCGCGGGTGGGTTTGGAGGGGGGCTCGCTGCAGGGAAGGGCTGCGTAAGAAGCCGATCCCCGTAGTCCGCCCCGCCCCTCCCCATCGGGCCGCATGAGCGGCCACGCCTCGCAGATTCGTTTTCGCGCCTGGGTCAGGCGCGCGGGGCATCCCCCGGGTCGCTCGACCAGCGATCCGAAGAGTGGCCGCTATGCGAAGGAAAGAGTGGGGCCCTCGACGCCTCAGTCCGGCCCTCCGAGGGGGGAAGGGAATTGCGGGGTCCCCACGGGCGCCTCAGTTCGGACCTCCCGAGGGGGGGAGGGGAGCAAGGGGGTGGGGGGATCGGGGCGGTGGGGAGGGGTCTCGGTTTCGTGGGACTAATACTTGCCTTTCGGGGAGG